ATATGGAAAAAATGTGCGACACTTTCAACAAAAAAATTTCCCAAAAATCAATACTTGCACTTTTTTATACTAAAATTGAAGGGGCTAAAAAACTGCATACTCAACTTGTTTTTAGAGAGTGTAAATAAAAAGTGCAATATTTAAATGAAATTTTGCAGAATTTTCTTTAATTTTGCACAAGGTTTGGAACTTTGTTTTTTTTTGGGGTTTTTGTTGTAGAATTAACCATATTTTTGTAAAAAATTAAAATAAAATATTTAAAAAAACAATTGCCCGTATTGTAAAAAATTCGCCGTACCTAAACTTTATTGACTGACTGTAAGTGCAGAAGTGTTTTGTCCAGACTTGGTGTGAAAACCTAACGTAACGCAAACTTCAAATTTTTCGGAACTCACAAAAGTCATTGTACTGTAATTAATTTTCCCCAAAACACAATTCCAATGGCTCAATCAATAATTTTATAATAATAAACAATGCTACTCCAAACTGCGTATCTCTAATATATGTTCCTTTGGTTTTCCTCTTTATATTAGGTGTCGGGTGTCGCTGACGCCTTATTATTGTGCTTTTGTAGTTGTAACAGCAAAGCAGCCAATTAAGAAATCTACACTTAATTAGAGAGTTGCAAAACTCCACGCAGCAATTGCCGATTGAAAGCCGAAACGGCAGCCTTCCAAACACTTAATAAATGAGGCAAGATGGTAATTGTTCAATTACGTAAATTGTGAAAAATGCAGGAAATGGAAATAAAAATAAAAAGATAATACTACGGATTGCCATGGAGTTCGATTTATGATTGCAATTGTGACTGATGTTGCCAATTAAAGCAGCAAGACAAATGTGCAACAGCAACTGAAAGGAGTAATACTTAGTTAGCAGAGGAAAGGATTGAAAATGAAATTAATATGTAGAAAACTATTAATGCAATGCAGCGCAATGGACAGATATCTACATACATATATGTACATCAAAATAAATATGTTTATAATAAAAGTGCATACATACACCAGTGGCCATTACAGATGCAAGTAATTTAATGGTCGTCGATCCCAGACATTTGATAACTATCGCGGTTGTTGCACGAGCGAGTGAGTTAGTTACTGCCAAGTCAATAAATGGGAAGCTGTTGAACTTTGTTGGCTAATGAAGTGAATATGCCAACTGCAGTTTAGTATGACAATCGTAGCAGGAAGTTTTTTAGGGGAATACATATATATGTACAGTGTACACTAGGGTGATCCAAAAATGCATTTAAAAAAAGTAAAGTCAGAATTCTTATGCTTTTACCCCCTAGGATTGTTCTATATCGAAAAAATACCCCTTATTCTTTTATTTTGAAATCAAAAAATATTTAGAGATCGCTCAAAGCGCTCAAAGTTTTCCATGTTTTTGTATGGGAGAAAAAGAACTTTTCGTGGAAATGATATGGAATTCTTGAAGACCAATATTTTTCGATCGGAAGGTTTGTTCTTTTCTTCAAACAATTTTTATTAGTAGACTATATTTTATAGGACCGCCAAAACCCCTAGAAAATGTCAGAAAATGCATTATTAAAAATCGATTACCATTAGAACCAGAGTTTTCCGATCGAAAAAAATTGATTTTCAAGAATTCCATACCATTTCCACGAAAAGTTTTTTTCCCCATACAAAATACATGGAAAAGTTTGAGCAGCTTTGAGCGACCTCTAAATATTTTTTTATTTCAAAATAAAAAATAGGGGATTACTTTTTTCGATATAGAACAATCCTAGGGGGTGAGAGCATTAAAATTCCCACTTTACTTATTTTGGACCACCCTAGTGTACACATATTCACTTTGGCTTGCAACGCTCTCCTTTGTATGTGTGTGTTTTTTTTTCTTTTATTTGTGGATTGCAGATATGTAATGCTTTTGAATAATTAAGTGGAAATTATGACTGAAAGCGGCCAGCATAAATTTCGTAATCGTTTAATTCAATTATGCGAATTAATTTTATGAATGCTGGGAAAAGATCACTTTTGATTGAGAAATACGAGTATGACTATGCTGTGGGTAATTCGTGAATCATTGATGAATCAAATGTGGTGGCGGTTATGGGGAAGAATAATAATAAAAGCGATAGTTTCAAAAAGGTTACTGAACTCCGACAGCGTTTTAAATGATGTAAGGAAAAGGAAGTGCTTGATTTTTTATATTTACGCACGACACTAATTAGGGTTTCCTATAATTGAAAGAACCAACGAAATATATGTACATATAATGCTTATAATTTTGAGGAAAACTAATATGGTAATGTTTAATTTCAATTTGTCATGGAAAGAAGGCTATTGGGAGTAAGTTACGAATTAGGGCTGCACATATTTATGTATGTATGCATGTATATATTGATGTCTGACATTCTTGATTTAGATAGGGTAAATAACACTGTTCAACAAAAGCAAACTTTTTCCAAAATAAAACGATTCTGGCAACGGATTCTGAGGGGACAAAAAAAAAACAATATTCGTGTATTGGCGTTTCGAAAGTTTACGTCAAGCGTTTTATTAGAGGGGATGGAAAAGTTTCCTCCCTTTTGCACATTATTAGGGGGAATCGGCGTAGGAAACCATGGCATCCTTACATTTTTAAGTAAAATACGACGGAGGACATTTTTTTTCTTCAACCCTCTAACTGTCAATAAGTGGACTTTTTTTATCCTTTTTTAGAAAAGGGCAAAAAAATACAAAAAAAAAGAGAGGAAAGCCCCACCTATTGAGGAGTTGGAGGGTTAAACTGTTTCAAAGAAATGTTCTGAAAAATATAGGCACAGATATATTTAAGATGTTATCGATAAATATGTTGATAATCATATCGATAACGTCATCGATGGCAGCGACCAATACAAATGGACTCCCGGTGCCATTTTTTGGTAACAAAATTTCCCAGTTACAAAATGTTCGGTAACAAGCAGAATAGGCCTGAGAGGAACTCTATGGGGTGGATATCAGCTTCCTGCGACGTTTCATTTTGAGCACACAGCGTTTTTGGGTCGAATGGCACCCCGAACCTCTCCGCTTGCCTCACTGGAGTGATGTGACGGGTCAGCAGATCCATAGCCAAAGAGATTTCTCCTTTGCTCAACAAAAGGTTCTTTCTCGAACTTTTCACGTCCCATTCCGGTTATATGAGTTTTGTCCTGGGCTCTTGTATGGTTTGAAGGTTTCAATAGCCCAGAAGATCTTCTCCTTGGAGAGGATTTCCTCAATGAAGGGCTTTCGGTTTACCCCATCTATTTTGTAGAGCCTCCTCTTTCTTTTGTAGTGTCTCAGGTTTATTAGCTGTGACACCAGGAAAGTGCGTCATCAAGAGCAGATCAAGAGTTAGTTCCTCCGTCTCTGCTGACGTTTCGTTGGATTTATGCAGACAACTCGGTGTTGTCGGGTGTGACCCGGAGAGTACCTTTCTAAGCTTCTCTTTGCCTTTCTTAGAACTCGTTTATAGTTCCTCAAGTTAAGTTTGTACTGTACGCCCTCCCATCCGCCTAAGCAGTTCTTATTGAAGCACTACAATGGCGCTGCTATTTACGTGCATTTGTATATAATAATAATCCCCAGCAATATCCTTACATACGAATCAGTACAATAGAAATGAATGGATTTATGTAGATACTATGAAAAGGCACCTGTGGCATTACGATCACTCAAATTCAGTGCTGTGCAAAACATTTGGGCGCTGCGGCTACACCGTGAGTCAGGCATGTGGGGCGAATCAGAGCTTATGCGGCGGCTGGCTGGTTATGCACCTCGCCAACCAACCTACTTACAGCTTAATTGCAATCCCGTACTAGTTTCTTTACACAGAGTAGTCCGCTTATCGTTTGTAATACATAGTAGATATGCATGTATGTGTGTATAAGTGCGCTTTGCATACAATTTTCTTATTTCCGCACACAATTCTTTGAACTTTTCTTCTTTCATTCTATTTTTATACTCATTCAGGCCAACGTTATTATCAACATCAGGTGAAATAGCGTGGTCGGCAAGTGGCCAAGAGAATAATGGCAATTGCTGTTATTTATGTTTGTACATATATATGCATATATACGTTTTTAGCTCTGGCCAAACGGAAGTGCGCCTAGCATAGGCAATTTATTTATATGTTTATGAAGTCGTATATGTACTTATATCTACTTTTGTACATTAGACTGTATCACTCCCCATAAAAAAATCGGTGCTGTTTTTCCAATTGAATTATAAAATCTATTATATTTTAAGACGCCCACCAAAATATTTCGGAAAAATACCTCCAAAAATGGAGTTTTTTATGAATAAAAATAGTTTCTTAAAGAACTTATTGAAAAAAGGTCCCTCGGATGAAAAAACAGATTAAGCTTAAAAAATCTGCACAAAAATATTTAAAAATCTTTTCAACGGAATCATAATAATGAGACTTTTTTTTGTAAATATGTATATGTACAGTGCCACAATAAATTATTTTCACAAGGAATTTCTCACATTACATTATGCACCATTTTTTACTTAAATTTTTTCCACTATTTTTTTTTATAAAATTATATTTTATACCACAACAAAAAAATAAATTAATTTATTTTTAATATTTTTATTGAGCTTTCTACCACGATTGTTTATTAGGAAAAATTTAAAAGCAAATTATTTTTATATTTTTTGTTGTAGTAAAATAACAAAATTTTCATAAAAAATTATCGGAAAAAATTAAAGAAAAAAAAATTTGCATATACATATTGCAAAACATTTCCTGTGCCAATAATTTAGTGCGACACTGTACACATACTTCTTGTTTATAAGTAGTAAAGTGGCAGTAGATATATGTGCATACATACCTACATAAATTAACTATTTTTAGTACGTAATATTAACGGTGCAAAAGCATTGCATTACCCTCATGTAAATGTAGAAAAATGTACGTATATTTTGTATGCAATAATTGAGTGGGCATTTAATATTTTAATTATTATTATTTTTTTTTTCATATTTACCCTTTTTCGGAAATCTTACCTTTTAATTACTTGTACACTCTAGCGATAATGACCATTTCACATGCATATAAAATATTATATCCATGAAGGAAAAGCCTTTTGAGTTTTTCATTATAGTCGTTGCAGAGGACGAAACTTACCTAAAAGAAAAGAAAAAATTTGCAAAAATTAGTAAATTATTTACTTACTATGAAATGGTATACTTATAAACACATACATATGTTTAATTCTAGTTCAACAAATAATTCGTTGCCAAAAGATTTAATGTGCCTTTGTAAGTATGTATTTAACAATCTTAGAAGCGGTGGATAGTTGCTAAGGTTCGTAGACACCAAGATGTTTTTGAAAAAAATTAGTAGCGGTTTTGGATCCATTGTATCAGAATCGGTTACTTCACAGAGCCGAGGTGAGTTGGTTTTATTTTTTGTTTTAATTAGCAACCTAACCCAACCTCAGCATGTAGGAAGAGTTTATATAAAAACTTTTACGCAGATCTGCTAAGATGACTATCTTTTTAAGCAAGTAAAATTATCTTCTATAAATTTTTTTTTGTTTAAGAAAGACACGAAAGAACTTTTGGGTTGAACGTAATCGGGCAGCACCATGATACTTTAACCTTTTTCAGGAAATTTTCTTCAAAAAATTATACGTTCGCTTTACACTAACTCATGTACACAATTATCAGCAGCCCAAGCTCAATTTAGAATTAGAATTTAAAAAGTCATCGGTCACCTTTTCAAACATAATATTTCAAAAATACATCTTCCGTTTTTACTTGATTAATTAAATGCAGCGACATCAATAAAAACCAAGTGTTTCACATAGTCGCGCAGGCATGTACAATAAACCGAACCAAAAGTGCACAAATAAAGACATCTAACACAAACCTAACCTATTGCTGACCTTTTGCAACCTCATTGTAACCCAACCCCCCGCTGCTTCATCAACAGCCAACAGCCAACAGCCAACCAAGAACCAAGCCAAAACCAGAAGACCTTCAACTCCACCACACACAACAATCGGGAGGCAGCAACAGCTACAGTTAAGTTGGATGTTGAATTGGCATGGAATTCACTTTGAAGCTGATTGAGAGTCAAGTGCTCGGAGTCAGTCAAGGTAAAGCAAAATCGACAGAGCCATACGCAAAGGGGAAGAAGAACACAGTGTATTGAAGAAGAAATGGGTTGCGTTGTTGCGCCACGGCGTACACATAGAGTTGTGACGGCATGTCGAAAGGCGCGCCACTGACTGGCAATGGGAATGACGATGCTGCTGCCGACGATGATGACACAAAAACAGGGTGGCACAGTTAGTTACACTGAATGGCGGTGTTGTTCGTAGCTGACTAACAGAGTCTGAATGCAGATGCTGCTGATGGCAGTGCCAATGCCACTGTCGTTGTTATTGTGGCTGGCTCTAGTAATCCATGCGTAAGCTGTACAGTTTTCGCCCTCCAAGTGATTTTGCTCCGCGCACCTTCGAACCGCTTTTCCTCTTCTACTTCTGATGTCGGTACATAAAGCGTAAATTATGTGGGGGAAAAACATTATTGCAATGTGATGCAATGTTGAGGTATGTACCTACAGACATACATACATACATATGTATATTCTAGTATGGCAAATTTGCTTTGTAGGAACGCAGCAACAGGATTTCAGGGTTGCTGATTCGAGACAAGTATACGCAGGCGCGTACCGAGTACGTTTTCGTTTGTTTTTGTAAGCGTTCCAGACGTGAGCTGTGTGGCTCCTTAGCTGACAGGTTGCGGTGAGTGTTAAAAAGAAAAAAGTGGATGGCAGTTGATGATGTGGATTTTGAATTGGCTTTGAAAGCAAATGCTGCAGTCTGTGATTTATGGACGATTACGCGACGTCGGGTTTCTTCTTTTGCATATTTTTCTGTTGTTCGCTGTGCTGCATTTATTTGTGTAAATTTATGCTCGACCATGTTCCTAAAGATTAATGCGAAGCTGGAGCAAAGTCAAAAGAATTCAAAGGATTAGCGTTTTTACGGCCTCTGATCGGATTTAAAATGCAAAGTTGATATTTTTCATATTTTGTTTGTTAAAATTTGGTAAATCTGTTCGTCTTAAAATACGAGTTCAAAGGAGGTGGTATGAGGGTTTAAAAAGGAATAGCTAAAATTTTGTTCAATAAAAATGTGTTCCAAATACCAGGGATTGTTTTAGCAAAAATTAATGGTAAAATCATTTATTCTTTAAATGGCAAGGCAAAGTAAGTTAAAATTTTTTTACTGACAAATTTAAACTTTTTCATAAATTTTTCCGTAATAAAAACTGTGACAAGAATTTGTATAATAGAGCCTTTAGTCTTATTTTAACTTTTTTAATACCTTATTGCTTTTTTCCCGACTTTTTTCGGATAGAGTAGTAGGGCCCGGCAACAGAAAGATAGGTTTTTCAAGTACCAGCGCCCTTCGGCGCGTACTTCTGCCATAAAAAAGCTTCTTCGGAGGTGGAATATCCTAGGATATAATTTAAAACTATTTATGAGTTTCCCTTAACCTGGAAAAAGCCTTGAAAATTTCGAAAAACTCGCAACTTTCATTGAGAGGTCAAAATTTGTATGAAGTGAAAAACCCCGGGTTGTTTGATAAAAAAATCCGGTTTATTCGATATTCGAAAAGTCAAGATTTCAAAAAATCGCTTATAAGTAAAAAAAAAAACCTTGGAATTTTAAATAGCGCAAATTTTATGTAATTTCAATGCTTAGATAAAATTCTTTTTCTTCAGATAAGTACATTGCCGGAACAAAGTATGGGCACAGAAAATTTTTCACAATATATGCAACAATTTTTATTCTAATATTTTTCCGTCAATTTTGTATAAAAAGATGGTTCATTCAACAACAAAAAACATGAAAATAGAACTCCTAAACTTTGTGCAAAACTCGCGGAAATTCAACAAATTTTCAACTTTTTAATAAATGTTTCAGAATTATTTGAGTATGCAGTTTTGCAGCGCATTAAAGGTGTTAAGCTTTTTTCCAAGAAAGTCTAGAGTGGCGGCACGATGTTAATTTCTACTGACTTTTTGGACATCTTGAACGTAGGCACTCGGAACGCAGTGTTACTTCCGTAGTCAGAAAACCTTTTTTTATGAAATTCGTTCCTGCTTATAATAGGTACTTAATTCATTAATTTTTAAGTTCGTGGTTCCCCACTTTGCCATACGCCTATACTATACTATAAAGCTCATAAATCAAGCTCACAGTAAACCACTTTTTAGCAATTTCGGTTAACCACACACATAAATATAATAACTCATTCATTCATTTATATACATAGATATTTCTCTGTCTGCCACAAACGTGCAAATGTTGGCGTACAATATTTTCTCTTTGTACTAACTTGGGCGCGAGAAAAAGTTATTCAATGGTATGTATGAACATACATATGTTTGTAGATAGATAAATACTTTGTATAGATAATATTACACTAGGTACAAACGAATGCATGTACTACATATAGTACAACAACAATTTACAAATAGGCATAAAATTGGCATAAAAGCTTAGATGTACAGGTGTACAAGTATGTATGTACATTAGAGTGGTCCAAAAAAAAATTTTTCCCAGATAGGGTTTGGGGCACTTTCCAAAATTTTTCCTCTTGCCGAAAGAGGTGCTGGTACCAAACCTTACGTTTCTAAGTATCCATTTAGAGGATGCTCATGACGCTCATATTTTACTCTAGAAGTATTGAGTCAATATATTAATCAAACATTTGGTTAAGTAACCTAAGAACATTTCAAATTTAAATTATCTATTAAAATATCACAAGCTTCAGTTGTCATGGCAACAGTAGCTTTTTATAAAAATCCCCAATATTTTTCACAGCGATCCATTAGCGCATTTCAAGGTCATTGAGCAGTAGAAAACTGAATGTTGGTATAGATATTACAAATATCAAAAGGAAAAAACTAAGGGCGAGCCCTGTTTTCTAGTATGAACTTTTTTTCCCACACAAAAATTGGACCACTATAATGTACATATGTACATACATATGTACCTATATAAAGTAAAGGAATTTGTGAGGAATTCTCACCTAGCTTGTATGTACTATAGCTATAGCTTTATGGGTTTTTTTCGAGCTGAAAAAGTGATACTGTTGTCAAATGCTGTCGTTGTCTTTATTGTTGTTGCTGTGTTGTGGCACATTGTAAACGTGGCGCATAGGAATTTGTGGCATGAATATCACACAAATATGTATGTATGTATATCTGCATGTGTACAAGTTCACTTATTGAAAACAAACATTGAACACGCCGACATTTTGTATGCCACAAAGCGGTTTTGCAGGAACCCCAATTGCTGTATGTCGCTCTCCTAGCAACCGTTTATGAACAAACTCGCATAATAAAATATGTATATGTCTATATACATATGTACATATGGATATTCTACGTGCATAATTTGCGCCTGTATTGATTCGCATACAAATATGCACATTTTATAGCTGAAGTGATGTTACGAGCGCGCACGCTTCAACTTTACGGTGATTAGCACTCAATGGTAGGTGCAGGTGTAAGTAGTATGCATATATATGTACATATATCTACATTATGGTGGTCCAAAAATGCGTGCGAAAAAAGTAATGTCGGTATTCTATTGCTCTCACCATCTAGGAGTGTTCTACATCAACAAAAAAAAATAAACCACTCTTTTTATTTAAAACAAAAAATAGTTCAAGGGCGCTCAAAGCGATCAAAGTTAGCCATGTACTTTATAACGGGTGATTTTTTTGAGGTTAGGATTTTCATGCATTAGTATTTGACAGATCACGTGGGATTTCAGACATGGTGTCAAAGAGAAAGATGCTCAGTATGCTTTGACATTTCATCATGAATAGACTTACTAACGAGCAACGCTTGCAAATCATTGAATTTTATTACCAAAATCAGTGTTCGGTTCGAAATGTGTTTCGCAAACCCAATTGCTGCGAACGGCGACGAATCGACATTTCACGGTCTTCAGCAACACTCTCAGAAACAGACGCAATATTCTCTTCTGTACGCACTGTACGCATTCGTGTGGTTGGTTTAATGTCCAATAAAGTAAACTGAGTGCGAAACTTGGTCACAATCGCATTAATTGTTTGCTCACTTGGTCGATTATGTAGA